GGACTGTACTACATAAATTATGACCAAATATAATTTAGGCTATCAGCCTATATTTCTGAACATCCATCTTGTACATTTTAAGTACAAAATTACCATTTTGCAGAAGTATAAAATTGAGACAAATTTTTTTCCATCTGTGCATTTAACTTCTGCATACTTTATAGCAGCTAACGGGTTCGAGAGGACCTCATTACCATCCGGAGGGGACGTTAGCCCCGCGACTATATAACTGTATTAAGATCTACATAAATGGGAATAAAGTTCGAGGGACAGTGGAATGTGGAATTTTATATTCTTTCTTAAATGGAGATGTAACTTTTATATAAAACTGCTCGTCGCTGCTTTTCTGAATAAGAGTCGCTGTTTATATTCAAACTTCCTGATGGAGGAGGCTGTGTTTAGGAAAACTCCTTTCAAAACATGCAGAAAAGGGCAGGCTCTTGGTGGCAAAGGGGACCTTCCAGAGATCCCTCGGCCATGGGAGTGATGATCTGGTCTTGAACTCTGGCATGGCCCACGGAGACGACAGTGACTTCTTGGAGCCTGATTCTACTGCCCCCCCCAAGTACCACCTCCTCCGATTTCTGAGTGATATGAGTGGGCAAGTCAGACAGGGCCTGTGCCCACCCATCAGGGATGAGGCTCCCTCGAATGACTTCACCTCACTGGCTTCTCGGGAGGCCTGGGTCTGGGTCGGGGACTGCACTGGACTATGAAGCAATGAGAACAGGCAGGGATTTGGGGGGCGGGGGACCAAGTTCACTTTCCCTGACAATTGCGGGTCTTCTGAGGGTGCTTGGCAAACCTTTGGCCGGGGACTGGGGCAGCCCAGGTTTCTTCCATGCAGACCTGGGTTCTTCACGACCCAGGGTAACATTGCTCTGACAACTGTTGTTGCATCTGAGGACAAGTTTTCTACTTCTGAGCTTGCAGCATCGTTTGCGCTGGAATGGAGCCTCTTGCAGCTCACAGCATGGCGCAGTGGGAGGTGCAGGTGGCAGGGGGATGTTAAGACTTTGCACCCTTTGTGCCAAGTGGACAGCACCGTATAATCTTCACCTCATGTCCCGTCACTCCTTTATCGACAGCAGTTAGTTTCTGAAAGATCTTAGAGAATTTCTCCCCTTAATCTTCTTTTGCTTCATTTCCCCCTCTCCCTTATGTATGATTCATTTTCCCCTCTCCCTTAAACTAGTTTTTTTTTTTTCTTTTTCTTTTTCCTGTGTCTTTTCTCTGCTCCTGGGTGCGTGTCTTTTTCCTTCCATTTCGTCTGTTTTTCTGTCTATCTTCTTTCTTACCCTCCTCCGATGGCCAAATTGCAGAACGAACTTATATTTCAGCCAAACAAGGTGGCTTGTTGGTCTACTTGATGTGAGGTGTTGCAAGCTGAGTCCCTCAAGAGGCTGCAATCCAAGTGAAGAGCGGCTGACCAGGTGCACAGAGAACAGACGGTCAGGGCTCCCATCTAGCCGGAGGTCTGGGCATCAGTCACTGCCGTGGAATGTTCGGAGATGGGAGTGACGATACCAGACACGGATAGGAGTCATCACACAGGTCAAATAACAGGACAGATCCCTGTTTCCTCGCCTGTTTTGGGAAAATACTACAGAGAAAGAAGGGCTTATGCAGAGATGGGTGCCTGTCTCTACTCTACAGGAGTGGCTTCGGAAGGGCAGAAGTCCCAGCTCTGTTTGGTGGCTGAGCACACTGCTCTAAGAAGGCATCAAAAGGAACTTCTTTCATGGGTAAGGTCTGGTCATGTTTACAATGGAAGATTCCTCGTTTTTTTGAGACAGAGTTTTGCTCTGTCACCCAGGCTGGAGTGTAGCAGCTGCAGGGGTGCGATCTCAGCTCACTGCAACCTCTGCCTCCCAGGTTCAAGCGATTCTTGTGCCTCAGCCTCCTGAGTAGCTGGGATTATAGGCATGTGCCACCATAGCTGGCTAATTTTTGTATTTTTAGTAGAGATGGGGTTTTGCCATGTTTGCTAGGCTAGTCTTGAACTCGTGACCTCAAGTGATCCATCCACTTCGGCCTCCCAAAGTGCTGGGATTACAGACATGAGCCACTGCACCCAGCTACAGATTTCTCATTTTTTATAGGGGAAAATTCATAGGGGTACCTGGGGGGCTGTATCCAGAGTTGGCTCTCCTGAAGGGGCTCAGAGCTCACTGTAGGCTTGACACTGTCTTGGGTTCCCCAAATTCAGGGAAAATGCATCCAGCAGGAGAACTTCGACTCTTTCCATGATTGAGGAAGTGACTGGCAAAGGAGGCGACAAGAGGCAGATGCACTGAGACCTGGGAACCAGGATCTATCAAGCCCGGGTGTCCCAGCCTCGGGCAGGGATGTCCACTCAATCATCCCCTCATTAGCTATTCAGTCAATGTCTATTGAGGACCTACTGTGAGCCAGGCAGGTTCTACTTCAGTGACTAAGATACACCTATACCTTGCAGACCACCAGATAGCAAGTAAGCAGTATAATACATAAATTAAAAAACTTCTAGTTGGTGATAACTAGAAGACTAGCATTGGAGAGAGGCTCAAAGAAGAGGCCACGTCATCTGATTTGTGTAGGAATTCCCTGATCTTGGTTCCAGGAGGGACTTACGGTCAGGACTCCTTGGTTTGGTCAGTTTCCCTGGAAGGTAAGTTTGAGACTTTCTTCAAAAAACAGAGCAGAGGTATCATTTAGAAAGTGCCTCGAGTTGGCGGCTACACTGGGGTGAGTGGTGGGAAGTCCACTCTGAGGCGGTGACTCCTGGGCTGAAGCCTGTTGGATGAGAAGGAGCCGGCCGTGGAAAGGGGGAGCAGCAGAGGGGACCACGTCGGGACGGCCAGCGTGAGGATTGCGAAGACACCACCTCTGCTGGCTCTGTCATTCTCTGGGCTCACTCATGACAGCTCTGAGGGTAACCACAGCAGAGCATTGAGTCAAACCGGTGAGGAGGCAGGGTGGGATTGTGGTAAATGTCTCATAGGTAAGCATCCTGAGGTTCAGAAGAACTGGTCACTGTCCCAAGGTCACGCAGTGAGTGAGTGACAGAGGGGGCATCTGAACGACAGCTTCCTGGTTAGACTTCCTCCTACTGTTCCTTCTGCATTTTCAAGTCCAGATGGAGTACCCAGGAGGTGCTGCCATAAGACGCATGTGCTGTGTGTCATTTCCCATTCAGGACCTTGTAAACCATGGGCAGCAGTTTTGAGAGTTGAAGCAACATTAAACCTTGAGGAGGATTTGAGAGTTGAAGCAACATCAAACCTGCTTGAAGAGGGTGCTTCTTCCCAGTGGCTCCCTACCACCACTCCCCCAGGTTGTGACACTGCACACTGTAAGGGCTGCCTCATGTCTAGTGGGGTGAATATGGATGGGGATCCTGCCCTGTGCACTGGGGTGCAGTGATCCTATGGCTCAAGCATGCCCATAAGTTGCCTGCAAATAGTGAGTCCAGAAGAGCTGGGGGCTGGCTCTGTCCATACATCAACACTCAACTGCTCTCTTAATGCAGAACTCAGGTTCAGAACAGGTGCAGGTAGAGATTGGCTTTGAGCAAGGACAGATGGACACCACTACACTGTATCACTGACTCTGTTCATTCCCCCAAAGCCCAAGGTCACACCTTTGGCAGAGCCTGGGTTATCAGAGCTGAGACCAACTCTCACCACCTTCAGGTGCTGGGGAAACGACCCATTCATTTGCTGAGAGAAACACAACCGCCCTGACCTGGAAATGTACCCATTGGCATTATCAACACTTTATTCTTGTAATGGATCACCCCAGGAAGCCAGACTGTAATCCGAAACCACACTATCAAATCACCCTGGGAAGCAAGATTGTGGGCCATTGTCATGAGCATATTCTTTTGCTGAAGACAACTGGAGATGTCCAGCCAGTTTGGAGCTAAGCCTGAGATCTGTGGAAAGAGCTTGGGTTAGCACCTGGAGTGACAGGTAAAGCTATGGCGGGGGAAATGGGGCAGATTGTCAGTGGAAGCCTGGGGACCACCACCAACCAGGGACAGGTCAAGAATGAGGAAGTCATGGGTGGAGCTGAGCTGGAGTGGTCATGGAGGAAGGAAGAAAACCCGAGGCCAAGGGGGTAGATAGTTTCAAGATGACAGGAGTGTTCAGTGGTGATGAACACAGCAGGTGTGTTCAGCCACACAAGGACTGAGGAGTGGGTGTCCATGAGCTCTGCCTATGGGAAGGTCACTGATGATGGACTGAGTGAGAGGGAGGAGCTCATCACGTTAAGGGTGGTTAGTTTGTTGGTTTATGGTAGGAGTGCTTTAGCTGGTGGTGATGGGGAGAACAGAGTGGAGGAGACAGAGGACCGTGGGTGACAGGGAAGAGCAAGGAGGGAAAGTTGGTCTTCAGTGGTTGGTGAGACAGGCAGGAAGGTGTCTCCATGAATGTCGCTAAATTTGTAGGTGGAAGGATGAGGTCATAAGAGCACTGGGAGGAACGAAAGAGGAAGCTGAAAACAGAGGCAGAGAGCCCTGATGGAGGGACCCAGGGTGCAGCAGAGATGGGGGCCCATATGCAGTGCTACACAGTGGAGAAATTCTTACCATTAGCTCTCAGTCACATGGGAGGAGGAGGGGCGAGCAGGGTACAATCTCTGTAGGTTTAAGGACAAGGAAGAAATGTAGAATAACTGAGTGCCCAGCTGAGACCAGTGTGTTCTTATGAAGAAGCAGTGTGGGTTCTGGGCTGTGTGGGAGGGAGGAGCTGCCAGGAGGGACTCATGCAAGGGGCAGGGGGCTGGCGTCACTTTCCTGCAGGTCTCTGGGAAGAAAACCCGGTGTCTGAAGACTGGGAGCAAAGGCGGCTGTGGTCGAGGGGAGGACATGGGGATGTTAGAGTTCTGAGACCCGTCCCTCCACCCTGTGGTGACGATACTATTCTGGGACACTGCTGGGTGAGGGTGACTGAAGTGGAAGAGCTTGCAGGCTTGAATCCTGGCTTTTCTGCGTGAGATTGAGCGAGATACGTCACCTCTTTGGGCTTCCCCTGCGATGGCGGTAATGATGGTGCTTCCATGATAGGATTGTGTTACCATGTGGCAAAGCAGAAGCAAGTCGGAACCTGGAAGATACGACTCATGTGGTGCCTTAGGCCAGGGCAGGGCTTAATAAATGATTGCCACTATCGTTGTCATCGTCATCATCATCATGACGTCATAGAACCAGGGTTTTAGAAGGCTCCGTGGCAGGGAGTAGGACGGTAATTAACAGAGGAAGAACTAGGAAAGAGGACACGCAGGGCCACAGTAAGAGATGGAAATAAGAGTAAGTTTAGGGGCCGGGTATGGGGAGGAAGCATTGCAGCCCCCCCGACTGTGTGTGTTATGGAGATGGGAGCTTGTTCGCCTCCAGGTTTCTGATCTAGGCCCAGCCGAGGGTCTGTGGTAGAGCCTGGTCCGCTGTGAGGGAGATGGCGAGTGCCCCTGCAGGTGGGGCCTGCTCTGGGTGTGTCTGGAGCATGGATGGACCCGCATGCCTGAATGTACTGTAAGGCAGGGCCATGTGGTGAGGCAGGGATGGGCCGCAGGGGAGTTTACCATGTGTAAACCCAAGTGCTGCTTTCTTCTTTGCCCCGTGCCTCAGTTTCCCCACGTGTGGCATAGAGAATTGGAGAAGGTGATGTTTTAGTTCCTTTCTGTACTTCCATTCTCTGATTCCAAGTCTCCCTTTCCTGATGTTTTTCTGAAATGCCACCCTATCCTCTCACCCTGAGTGGTGAGAAGCTCAAGTGGACGAAGTCACATAGTTCCATGGCCACCAGGTGCTTCCCCTAACAAAAGGATGGTGCTTCTTTGATGGCTGTGAGCAAACCATTTGCACAGATCAGGGCTGCTGGAATACAGAGTGGAAACATGTTTGGGGGAAATAAGCCCAGTCCTCGAAGAGAGATGGCTCCAAGGTGAATTGTACCCATAGGATGGTGGGGAATGTCCCATAGGTTTTGTGGGACCTCCTTGAGCAGTGTCTGTGGTTGGTCTTACCTGATAAAACCAAGGGGCGAGTAAAAATGGATGTGGGTCTGGGGAGGGAAGGAGAGGCAGTGCAGGGCATGGCCTCACTGTTCCAGCTTTCTGTATCGGTGTTGAAGACGTTGACCTCTGCTTCAGACGGCAAACTCCATTTTGCAAATTGGTTAGCAGGTGGGGTATTTTGGTCCTCTCCAGTAGGTCTAGGGGCAGAGGGAAGCATGTCTTGTATCATCGACCCATTTGTGGAGTCCCAGGAGGTCTTGGCAACTGGACTTAAGGTCACTGAAAGGAAGTGGAGCCCTTCTAGCTGCTTCCTAACATGCACACCCGAGCCTGGGCATGCACAGCTAGGACGCTTGGGACATGAACTCAAAGAAGCAAGGAGATCCGTCTGGAACAGCAGGACGAGGAGCAGGGAAGTGAAATGCAAACTGAAACTACCGGTTGCCTCAATGAGATATCATCCGACACCAGTCAGACTGGCTATCACTAAAAAGTCAAAAAATAACATATGTTGGCAAGGATGTGAAAAAAAGGGAACACTTATATATTGTTGGTGGGGATGTAAATTAGTTCAACCTCTATGGAAAACAGTATGGAGATTCCTCAGAGAAATCATGACAGGACTACCATTTAACCTGCAATCTCAGTACTGGATATCTACCCAAAGGCAAAGAAATCATTATAGTATTCATCAAGTATATATTAATCATTATAATGTATACTTACATTCATTACAGCACTATATATATTATATAATATATTCACAATAACAAAGTTGTGGAACCAGCCTTAGTGCCCATCAACAGTTTACTGGATAAAGAAAATGTGGTACATACACACCATGGAATATTACACAGCCATAAAAAAGAATGAAGTTATGCCTTTTGCAGCAACATGGATGCTGCTGGAGGCCATTATCCTATGTGGATTAACGCAGGAACAGAGAACTATACACCATGTGTTCTCACTTATAAGTGGGAACTAATCAGTGGGAACACACGGACATAAAATGGAGATAATAGACACTGGGGACTTCAAAAGGGAGTAGAGTGCGAGTGAGGCAGGTGTTGAAAAATTTCCCATCAGGGATAATGTTCACTGTTCGGTTAATGGATACACTAGAAGCCCAATTCTCACCAGTATGCAATATACTTATGTAATAAACAGGCACAGGAACCTCTGAATCTAAAATTAAAAAATAAATCATGCACACACACACACACACACACACACACATACACACACACACACAAAAGAAAATACCAATTGCCAAAACCAAATTCTCCCAGAGCAACATCGCCTGTCCCTCTGGGTCCCATCTCTGCCTGGCGCAAAGGCCCCACGCACCAGGGTGCATGGAGGGTCAGCACATACTGCTGCTTCCGGAAACTGAAGCCTTTGGATGAGGTTGGGGAGCCTCTGCTTCTTCCTCGAGCCACGCTACTTCCTGTTTTTGTTTCCCATCCTATGCTTTGCTGCAGGAGCAGGGCCTGCTGACAAGGAACGGGTCCCGTAGAGGAATGCAATCGTGCCCTTGTTTGCCCGGCGCCCTGTTTGTTCCCCGCGCAGAACAATGACCTCTTGTAAGCCAGTGCTTTTCAACCTCATCGAGGGTTACTGCGCGGCCCCGATTCCTCCCCTGATTATCTTGACGCCTGTCAGACTGTGAGGTTCTCCCTCCCCTCTCTGCTCTTTCTTCCTAATAGACATGAAACAGTCCAGTCAATAATATTTTACTTGTCTTCCCACTGCGTGTCTCTTCTTCTGATCAGTTTAGGCGGGTTTGACTGCAGAAAGTCAGAAGGGAGGTTAAGATCTGAAAAGTTCAGCCAAATGTTATCAGCCTCAGAGATGTTGCTAAGGGAAAGGCCCCCGAGCCCTTGGTGACCGGAGCCAATAATAGCTGCGATTCACTGATAGCATCAACGCCTGTCAAAGATCCAGGCGTTTGTGGTTCGTCTGTAAACGCAAACACCTGTATCCAGTCAAGCTATGATGGTTATCCTCTCTTTCCCTGTCATTCCGATCGGTTCCTTGAAGGGGCTGCCAGGATGTTCTAAGCTGTGAGTTGATTTATAAAGTGAAGAGTCTCTCCAAAACTTTGGCATGGATGGAGAAATTGACGAAGGGGGCGCCTCTCTTTTAGGGGGTGATGTGGCGTTTTGACAATGATGAAGTTGACAGTCTTCTTTTAATTGCATTTTTGAACCCATGGCACCCGTGGCCCGAGCCGTGGGAAACATGGGCTTAGGCGTACTTTTAACTACCTTAACATGTGCCCCTGAAAGGACACTTAGTGCTTGTTTGAGATTTTTGCATGTGATGAATTAGATCAAAGTGACTAATAAATAGTGTTTGGGTAAGCTCTTCAGAACACAGTATATGCATAGTTGTGATATTTTCAAGATTCAACAGGCAAGGTCCAAACTGTTAAATAAACTTCTGTAAGCGCAAGGAGAAGACAAAGCCTGTGCTGACCCTCCCAGTTGGGGCGAGATTGTGCGGGGCATCAGATCTCTCTCAGTGAAAGACTTATTGACTTGGATGCTTGGGTGGTCAGCCATGGTGGCCCGGAAAACAGAGAGGAAACGTGGTCACATGGCATCCTTCCCAGGCCGCATCCTCAGCCGCTCCACGTGGGTACTTCCGTGGTTCCCTGGGAGCTCTACCCCTCCTCTGCTGGGAATGTCCACATGCACTTGCCTTCAATAAGCTCTGGCTTCCCATTCCAGCAGCATGAAGGTACAACTGCCCCAGTCACTCAATCCAAGCAGTCCCGTTGTCCACATGACTCTGCATTTGGTACCATCTTGTCCATCTTGTTTGTTTGTCTTTTCTCATCAGCAGCATGCAGCTCAGAGTAGAGGCTGGCAAAGAAGGGAAAAGAAAAAAGACTGGGGAACTAGGTCAGGGCAGGGCACTCAAGGGTATCAGCTAGCAGCACAGTCCTTGGAGTCAGAGCTGGGACAAGCTGGGCTTGACCACATGCTTGCACCACACTCTTCTCCAGCCTCAGTGTATCCACATATAAAAAGAGGACAATGACAGTATCGGTTCACTTGCTGTGAGGATGATAGGAGACAATGTAGTGAGTCAAACAATATAAATGTGGGACCCATAAAAATGAAAGTTTCACAGGGCACAATGTAACATGAGAAGCACTCAGCAAAATGCCATGTGCTTAGCAAAACCACTCACTATCAGCGATTTCTCTTCTTCTTCCTCATACTCGTTATTTTTATTTTCCTTCTTCCTAACACTTCTGGATGAGAAGTCTAATTTGGACCTGGGATTAGTGAAAAAAAAAACACCTCGGTTATTCGACTCATATTAATGTAAAGCATAGAGTAACAAAAAAATTACAGTGATTTAATCAAGAACAATTCAGTGCAATTCATATGTAGGCATCACAGGCTCCCTTTGAAAGCCTAGCAGGAGGCAAGGGACATGTGGGCCCACCCTGTGACCAGTCTCCACAAGTGATGCCCACGGGATCTGGCTGGAGATGTTCATTATAAGCTGAGTATTTAAAAGCTCACAAGCCAGATGATTCTCGGTGCCGTCAGGGTAATAAAAACCTAATTTGGATTTTATTTATTTATTTATTTATTTATTTATTTGCCAATAAAGAGAATGTTGAGATGCATTGGTTCCATCCTTTTTTAATTGTTCCTCTATATTTTAATTCAAAATAAAAGGACTACAGTGAGTTGATGCTCTGGCCACACGTGCTAGGGAGGAGGTGGCACCCCGTGTTGGATCCTCAGGTGAAATAATGCTTTTGATGGGGTCTGGGGGTAACTGGCGAAGATTGTATAAATGACTGGATTGGAACGATTTGCAAGACCTTGGTGGAGAAGGGTCTGCTTACTCTACCCCTTGTTTTCCATTCCTTTCACTAAGCCCTTATTGTTTTATGCTTCAAATTGTGCAATAGCCTCTGAAAGCCTTCAGTCTTCTTTCTGCAGTATGAGGTGGAAATCGTTTTCAGCAATGATTGACATGGTCTCACTTCTGCTCAGAAGCCCCATGGGGCCAGTTTCCCACAGCCTGGTGAATGTACTTGTATATCTGCTACTACAAAACCATGAAACTGTATGATATGGTTTAGTTCTTTGTCCCCACCCAAATCTCATCTCTAATTAT